CCATGTGATCAAATGTTTGAGCATCGTGAAAATAATTATTTTGCTTAGCACACCAAAAGAAGAAGCTCAAAGCAATCAAATCAGAAGGGCAATCAAGTAAGGAAGCGCGCACAATCTCTGGTGTGACAACCAATTTATTTTTCTTTTGAAACTCTTCAATATTTTCCCGAGAAAGTTTGTAGGTTTTCTCAGTAGTACATAGTAGGGGTGAGGAAAGGTAGTGGATTAGCAGAGATAGAGCGTTGAGGGCTTGGTTATTCTGCATCGGAAAGTGTATCAAACTCCATTTGCATCTTTGTAGCATATCGATTAACCTTCTGACGATGAGGCTCTCTGTTGAAGAATGCAAGTTACTAATGAATTATATGAGAATTTGAGGATTGTCTATGTTGCAACCTCAGGAAAAATAAAAATATGATAATTCAAAATAAAAAGAGCTGTCACCAATCCTAAATAATTAATATCAGAAGTTAAATCATGCGTTGCTCTATAAACAAAAATCTTGAACAAAATAGTTCAAGACGGGAAAGCAGGCACCCATTGTGATGTAGGTTAATTAACCATGTACTAATATGCATGCCTTAATTCTAAGTAAGAGTGTTATAAGTGATATTCATTTACTAATCAACAACATAAAAATTGTGATGAGGATGAAAATGAAATAAGAGGGAAAGAAGTAAAAAAATAATAAAATAGTGGCTAAAACAGATAATCATCCCTATTCTCATCCACTGCAGGGCCATTAATCATGTCACAAGCTATTAGAACCAGGAAACTTTTGTTCTTCCCATGACATACCAACTGTAGAGTCTTGTGCATCCCTTCACTAGACAAAAACAGCAAATCAAAACATATTGAAGAGCTAAACATTGCTAAAGAAGCATGATTTCCATTTCAAGTATAAAAACATCTAAAGGACTCCCAAACGGGAAACATTTCATATAAGTGCATTCAAAAGGGTAGTTGTAGAAACCAAAACTTCATACAAACAGTTCAGCCAGATAGTTAAACTCACTCTATCTCTCTTCAACAGAAAAATGAGATATGGCATCAACCTAACCAACAGCTAAGCAATAGCATCATTAACAGTTCAAGAACGAAAAAGGTCATTTCTATATTTTCAGCTCATCGCCAATTAAAAATAATTGTCAATTATAAGAGTATAATTTCTATAACTCAAACACTCAAGACTCCATCAAATCAAACAATCAAGGCCTGTAACATCCATTCACCACATGCCACAATTTCTCAGCCCTACTGACTCCTATATGGTAGGCCACAAGCCCTATAACTAAAAGCTGATCTAGATCAAGAATTTATTTTTTTGAACATAAACGTGCTAATATTCATAAAGCACCAAGGAGATGCAACCCGCATACAAAGATACGAGTTTAACAAAACATCAATAAGATCCCCCTAATCCTCATTTAAATACAAAGGTCGACCCTTCGTCAAAATACTCAGGGCACGGAACCAATAATCCTTAATTCTATCAAAGTTGTCTTCTATCCCCTCAAAAGCCTTTTATTCCTCTCTTTATAGATGATCCAAAAGGTACCAAAGGGGGAGAAGTTTAATTGTTTGCATCTCTCTTGATGGCTCTTCACACTAAAGGCTCTCTCTTATTGTGCCTGCGATAACTCAATTCATACCCAAAAAAGCCATAAACCAGAGACCATAAGCGATGTGCCAGTAGACACCAAAGAAGGATTGCATGTCTATGCCCATTACCATGAATTTTTATCCACATTTTAAATTCAAAGTCCAAGTAAGGAGAAAATGATATAAACCAAGAACAGATCTAAGGAAGATATTAAGCTAGCTTATAAAGAAGCAATCACTTAGGGAGAAAAAATGCCACAAAGACACCATGAGGGCTCAAGCAAACTCATCCTATGATATTTTTTTGAAACGTTTTGAATGCATATTCCTAAACATGTTTTTAATTATACAATAATGTTCTAGACTATGAATGAATATACTTGTATCAACGAAATCAAGTATCAACATATATTTCTCAAGTCACTAATGAAAGAGCATGTGATACCCTAACTCTACATTGGAAAATAGTGACTAATGAACTCCATGTAAAGGCTCGGGCCATAAACTCTCAATAAATTGCACTTGAGGTTTTGAGAGTCAGTGATTTAGATCCAAAAAGTTGTTGGGTCAATAGGCCTTGGGTTCAAGAAGTACAAATAGTATCAGAGCACACATACCAGTTCAATAACTCCATGCTGGTATGATCTTGAATCTTTTAGTCTGTGGGATTATGATTTGAGATTGTAATGTATGGCCTTGATGAAGAAAAGATGTAAGTAGTAGAGACTATAATACCTGAGTTCTACATAGTGAATATAGATGATTGTTGAGTTCTATATAAAAACTAAAGTCATTTATGATCAATAACTTGAGTTTCAGCTTTTTAAGCTAATGGTTTAGCTCAAAAAAATTGTTGGGTAAGTAGTGATTGGAACTGGCACATTAAAGAGCGATACCAAAAGCAAAACTCAACTTCTACAAACTACAAATCAAGTATATCATCACAGAATCCTGATGTAAAGCTAATATGAATCATAAAGAAAATCAAAACTAAAACAGGTAGAAGAACGCGAGGAACAAAGAAACAACAATAGTCATGCATCAAATGGTCCCCTTCATTACTCTTCAAATCCATTTATCCTATTAAGATGAACACAAAACCCAAAAAAGCAAGAAGAAGATCATATTATACCCTCTTCTGTGAGCTCCCAGAACACCAGAACCTCCTCCACTATCCTTCCCTCAAGCCTCGTGTTATCTCCCACTTTCCTTCCTCAATCCCCGTGCTCTGCCATCCTTCTTCTCTCTCTGAGAACGCCTCTAATCTCTTTCTAAATACCCCAGAAAGTTATCTCCTTCCTCTCGTTTGGAAACCCTAGCCTTTCACGTCTTCCCCACTCTCTCTCTCTCTCTCTCTCTCTCTCTCTCTCTCTCCCGCTCGTTGTCGTCTCTCTGTGTGGCAGCTCCTTCCTTTCTTTGTAACGGCGTCGTTTTTGGTTTAAAGAGATTCATTTTAACGACGTCGTTTTTGTTTAAAGAGATTCACTTTAACGTCGTCGTTTTCGACAAGAAAGATGATGGGCTAGGCTGAAGTTTGAACGGGCCGCGTTATTGGGCTATTATTTAGGGTTCTTTGTTTAAAGTAGATTAGGCTTCTTTGTGCTAATTTTAAATGGATTTGAAATGAGGTCCTAAAAATTATATTTTAATATTAAATCTGGATATTAGAGTTAAAAAATTTTATTATATTTTTTCTTCACAACAAACAAGAGATATTATAAACCCTTACTAAGTTGTAAAATTCAAACTAAGCATCTCAAATCAACATTAAGGATGTCCTACATGCTTTTGATGAATAAAAAAATTTTGTTAAAACTATATTGAATTATTTTTATTTCACATAAAATTTTATACATTTCCAACTTTTTTTAATTATAATATAATTTATACATTTTTCTAATTAAATTAAATATGAATGTGCAATTGATTTTCATATTAACTATGAATTTACTCTAAATGAGTAAAAAAATGTTATAATTATGTAAAACATATAGTGATAAAAGTAAAATTAAAGTTAACAAATCTTAATATAATTTATAATTTGTGAAAGTATTTAACTTAAGAGAAAAGTACATAAAGTCTCAAAGAATTTTCCATAACATATAAAAACCATTTCACCCTTTGAAATTGAAGGGAGAAGCATTTATTTTACAAAGTATTAGGTATTTTACATTATATTTAAAATGAATCTTGAGATTACCGTACTTATAAAATTATTGCAACATTTTTAATAATTTATTAGAATCATGAAAACTATTGTAGTAATTTATGAACACATTTTATTGCGTTTCAGGTTTTCTTTTGAGATTTCGGTGCATTCAAATTTTTTATGATACTCGTTAGGGCACACTTTAACCTCGCCACAAATACACTTTCAACAATTTTTAACCCTAACTTTTTAACAACTATCTCAATTATTCTCAAAACAAATCAATTGTAATATTTCAAAAAATGAATTGTAATTAGGACCATCCTCTAAGAATTCTTAACTTATTTTTCATATTTTCTCACCATAAATAGTTATTTTTTATTTAAATGGTGTTTCTCTTCCTTTGATTTTGGTCTCATTTATATTTTTTAAAAAATGTCATTTTCATTTAGTTTCCAATTTTTTCATTTTCTTTGAGTTTAAAATAATCATAAAGGATTAATATATGTTGTTCCCGCTAGAGCATAAGCCTTGCCCAAGGCTTACCCTTGTACGAACTAATATATTCTGTCAGAGTTGCCAGGTACAAACAAGCCTTGCCTAAGGCTTGAGCTCATATGACGATTTTGTGTGCTACACAAAACTTCACTCTTTAAATAAAAAAAAAAAAAAAAAGAGGAGAGTCACAAGGATGAGGCCGACGGAGAAGAAAAAGAAGAAGAGCAATTTTTTTATTATATATTTTTACGTACTTTTCTGTATTGATTCTAAATAATTTATGATGTACTAAACTCGCGATGAGCAACTAGATACTCCTATTTTCTAGTCAAGAATTTAATTGAAGTACCAATACAAGGGTTGTGCAGTTTAATTGTTTTACTTTTATTCTTTTTTATTTTTAATATTTATATATTTTCTATGCATAAGAATATTGTTGTTTGTTATTCGTTGTAATAGGGTTTGTACGTCTGGCGTAAAAGCATATCGCCATTCGGGATTCTTGAATCCGTAATTGTTCATGATATACTAATAATTAATGGTAAATTAGTATTCGTAAATAAGAAAATATATAATCTAATCCAAATGACCACGCGGATTAAGTTTATTGATTAGAATCAAGTCTTTCTAATTTAATGCTATTGGTGAATTAAACTCTATGA